GGTGGGCGGTTAGAAATTTTTACTACTAACAGAGATACAAAAGTGGGCGGTAGGTATAAAAAGGTTGACTACCCCTGATGTAAATCAACACCAAGGTAAAAGTCTGCCACCACATTGGATCTATTTCTGCCTTTTTCTTTTTGCAATTATGCAAGAGTCTTTTTACTAATTTACACAGCGTATCGTTTCCCCAATGACGACGTGTCAATATTATTGAGGTGAATGACATGTCAAGAGGAAAATGATAAAAATTCTAATCAATTGTCTTGTTTGAATACATGTGGGCCTGCATTGATTTTTCAATCTACAGGTATAATGAATAGATGGGTGGATTAATGAATGGATGAATGAATATCCCAAAGATGCTTTTTCAAGAAGCAACTGGACTTCCTTGGTTTTTCCTTGAAGACGTTTTGCTTCTCATCTAAGAAGCATCTTCAGTTTCTAATAAGCTTCTTCAGTTCGGAACTGAAGAAGCTTCTTGGATGAGAAAGCGAAACCTCTTCAAGGAAAAACAAAGGAAGTCCAGGTGCCTCTTGAAAAAGCATCTTTGGGACAGCTATGATCTGGATGACCGAAAACCTCCATAGATGTGAATGAATGAATACCTTCCATTTTATTCCAGATTTTGCGGAGCCTTTATCCATCCCTGGTTATGGGGGAACAGCTTTTCCCCAAACAGGAGGATCAGGAGTTCCTGGACTGGATAATCAGCCTCCAGAAGAGATGGTAGCCATAATTTCCTCTATGGGATTTCAGCGGAATGTAGCTCTTCAGGCACTACGGGCAACAGTGAGTTTTCCTGAAAATTATTTAGGTTTTATTGGTAGCCAAAAGACGTTGAACTTGTTGATCAGTAAGGTCGGCAGTTCGGCGGTTTGAATCCCTTGCCCCGTGTAATGGAGTGAGCTCCCATTACTTGTTCCAGCTTCTCCCAACCTAGCAGTTCGAAAGCATGTAAAAATGCATGGCTTCAGTTTTCCTGAAGCCTCCGATACGCAAAAAAATGGCCCTATGGGCAAACCGGAAGTTCAGGAATGGACTTCCGGTTTGCTGGTAGGGCCGGTTTAAGCCCTCCGGAGCCTTCAGGGACCTTCCTGAGGCTTCCCTGAAGGGCCCGGAGGACAAAAAATGACTCTACGAGCAAACTGGTAGTCCATTCCCGAACTTCCGGTTTGCCCATAGGGTTGTTTTTAGTCCTCCAGAGCCTACCGGTTTGCTCGTAGGGTCATTTTTAGATCTCCAGAGCCTTTAGGGAAGCCTCCTGAAGGTCCCTGAAGGCTCCGGAGGGCTTATCCCGGCCCTACCAGCAAACCGGAAGTCCATTCCTGAATGTCCGGTTTGCCCATAGGGGTGTTTTTAGTCCTCCAGAGCCTACCGGTTTGCTCGTAGGGTCATTTTTAGATCTCCAGAGCCTTTAGGGAAGCCTCCTGAAGGTCCCTGAAGGCTCCGGAGGGCTTAACCCGGCCCTACCAGCAAACCCGAAGTCCATTCCTGAATGTCCGGTTTGCCCATAGGGCCGTTTTTTTGTACTCCGGAGGCTTCAGGGAAGCTCCTGAAGCCTCCGGA